TGTTCAAATCATGTAAACATAAACATTTTTTCTAGAAAAGGAATATATTTTTCCTTATGCACTCATGTGATCAATGGACATAATATTAACTTTTCATGCACTACCAAATTTAACTGACATATATGATGGTTATTACGTTTTCTGTCCTGGAATTTGGCAAGGTCTGACACAAGTGAGCCCTATAGGCCTTACCTCTCACCACTCTCCTACCTCTATTTTACCCAGTCCTTCAATGTCTATTTTTACACTTCCAGCGCTTCTGAATTGGGACTAGCTACATTTTTTTTTTTAAGTACTCAATGGTCACATATGGCTAAATGGATGCTATATTGGAAAACAATGTTCTAGGATTTTCTTATCAGAGTTTCCCATCCTCTCCCTAGCTCTGCACCCCCTCCATTATATACCAACTTCCTCTTTCTTAACACAGTCCTAAAACTGATCTTTTTGATTATCAGGGAATTGTTGGCTCTTCTCATGCAAATAGTCACCTTTTTACCTTGGCTTTGATAGTCACCTCTTTACATATAGCTTACATTTAAGACAATTCTGGATTTTTGTTGTGGTGGTGGTAAAATATGATAACAAAATTTACTGTTTTAACCACTTGTAAATGTACATTTCAGTGCCATTAAGTACAATCACATTGTTGTACAACCATCATCACCATCCTTCTCCAGAACTTTTTCATTTTCCCTCACTGAAACCCTGTACTCATTAAACACTAACTCCCACTCCTTCCCACAGGCCCTGTCAGCCACCATTCTACTTTCTGTCTCGATGAACTTGACTATTCTAGGTATCTCCCATAAGTGAAACCATATAATAGTTGGCCTCTATGCCTGGCTTATTTCACAAAGCACAATTTCTTTAAAGGTCATCCATGTTGTATATGTCAGAATGTCTTTCCTTTTTAAGGTTGAATAATATTCCATTATATGTCTGTACTACATTATATTTACCCATTTATTTGTCAATGGACAATTTGGTGCCTTCATTTTTTGACTATTATATTTCTATGGACATGGGTATGCAAATAAATATTTGAGTCCCTGCTTCTGGTTAAAGAGCTAGAGATAGAATTGCTGGATCAAATGTTGATCTATGTTTAATTTTTTGAGAAATCACCATATCATTTCCCACAGTGGCTGCACCATTTTTCATACCAAGTAGCAGTGCATAATGGTTTCAGTTTCTCCACAAACTTGCCAATACTTACTACTTTCTGGTTTTGGATTTTGTTTATAATAGCTATACAATTATTTTTATTACCATTTCTGCATAACATTAGGGATATATAGTAGAGGTAAGGCCAACTTAAATCCTGATTAACATGTGTGCATAATAATTTAAACATTGTCTGATATGCCAGTCATTGCATCCTGTTTATTTGATGAATTATGGTTTTTCTGATTTTGTTAAAAACTCTTGATTAGGACTTTGAAACCCTATATTCTCATCCTGGCCTTGCCACTACTCACCATTTGATTTTAGGGAAATTGCTTAGTTTTTTTTATATTAAAAAAATGGAAAGGATAATTCCTTACCTACTCTATTCACTGTGTTATTATAATTATCAAATTCATCAATTTAAAATAGCTTTAAATATTTTGAAATGATAGATTTATTTAAGGGATTATCATTGTGGCTGCTGTATACATCATGGTGATTTGGATTACATTTGGATATATAACATATTTTAAGTTTTTATTTATGTAGGGTACAATTCAGGATTAGGTGCATAAGTGGTCATTATACAGATAAAGTTTGGGCCTGCTTTTGATTCCCACTTTGCCTGGTTTGAGACAAGGTAATCTTGTAAATGTTATGTGGCCTTCCTCCCTTGGCAGATTCTCACTACTGCCGATCTCTTTCTTACAGTATTATGATAAATGTCAGGGTCTGCTTATGAGTAAGAAGATATGATACTCAGCTCTTTGTTTCTGTGATAGATAACTGAGTATTATAGACTCTAAATTCATCCAAGCTGCTGCAAAGTCCATAATTTTGTTCTTCTTTATGACTGTGTAATATTCTATCATGTATATGTACCACAATTTTTTTTTTATCCATCCACTTTCAATGGGCAGCATGGTGCCCATTGATTTATACTCCTTGATTTATTAGCTTCTTAAATTAGATATAATATTGAATTGTAGTCCATAAATAACAATGAAAATTAAAGTCTAAGCAATTAATCTACTGGTTTGGCCAAGATTTTCCTCAATTGTGTGTTTTTTTGTTTTTTTTTGTTGTTTTTGCATACAATTTCTAGATTAAGCTTAGTTTGCTTTCTGTAAATATCAAGTTATTTTTGTAAATAAGAATATAAAAATTCAAGTACCGTTTGGTTTACTGTAGAGTAGGGCAGTTTTTTATCAGTGAACTGGGAAACCCACTTATTACTCTTCTTCTTCCAACTAAGATGAAGTCATTTTTCAAAACCATGAATGTTATTATTCCACTTAATGGCAATATTTGGAAGTCAGTAACTGAGTTATCCTAGAAGAAAAGCAAATTGCGTATCTTGCTATGGTACTGGTTAGTGTTAGTCTTTGAAACACTACGTATTTTCAGGTGTAATTTGGAAAACTCTTGGGACTCATGACCATGATGGGCAGCAGGGGTAAATTATTGGAAAAGTTATTTGCAGCAGTAATCATGGTAACATTATGTATTGTCATGGCTAAAATATTTTACATGTAAGGGTGAAATAGGAAAGGAAGGAAGGAAGGAAGGAAGGAAGACATGAATATTTTGAGTAGAATATATGGCATAAGAAAACTGAAAAATAAATCGAGAAATTGCAACTCTAAGAAACTGAAAATTTTAAAAAATATTTTAAAATGAAAATTTGATAGTAGCATTCTTCAAGGATCTCCAAAATGAAGTTTAAGATATTTGCAGGTCAAAATCTATTCTTTATTTTTTTAAAAAGATTTTTATCATCTATTGAGATTCAAATTAGCAATCAGTGGTGGGCCTGGAAATATATGGGTTTTCTCATTTATTCTAGATGATTTGGTGACAGAATTGGGAAAACCTGCTTTATAGCATCATATGAATAGCTTTCCAGTTGAATCACTTCATTATTTCTTGTTACCCTGTGTGTTAAGCACTTATACAAGAATGGCTATATTTTGCACAAATAAAAATGCTTTGTTTTTGGAGATTTTGACTCTTTCTTTGTAAAAGAAATACAGGTAAGAGCCATTAGTTTTGAGGAACTTCAAGATTCCAACAAGATCTTCTGTAAGGATCTTTTTTTGTTTGTGTTTTTAAAAAAAGAAACTTGGATTACCTGTACTGGTGTCATTTAAAAATTGTAGGATCAACTCTCTGAGCTGGTTTCCTCTGTATATTCTGCTACTTCTGCCAAAGGTGTTTAGCTCTTTCGGGATGCTGTAAGAGCTATTTAGTACAGTAATTGCAATATTTTAAAATATCATTTAAAAATGCATGTGTGTGATAATTTTGGATAAGATACTTAACAGACATATTTTACACATATATTTTGTACTTCTCAAAGTATGGTCTGGGTTTGATCAACATCATGTGAGAGGTTATTATAAGTGCAGACTATCAAGCCCACTACAGATCTTCTGAATCATAATCTGCATTATAACAACATCCCTAATGATTCAAATGCACATTAATATTTTAAGAAGTTTTGTTACAAGTATGTTGGAAGAAATCTGTCTTCTCATCACTGAACTAGTCTCTGGAGAAACTTATTTGTACGCTTATCTCTCACTTAGTCTAGTTTGGATTTAGAATACCTTCAGTCAAAACAGTCAATCACTATATTCTCTGAAATCTGTTATCCAAAATGTTTACAAAGAGATAAGCATCTAATTTTCTTAAATATTTGTGAGTGCTTGCTATATGCAAGACATTTAATCCTCATAAACATGCCCTTTTTTAGTTATGAAAATGTGTCCAATTTGAAAAAGCTTGTAAGTGGCTGAGCCAGGATGTGGACCCAGCCACTGTGGCTCCCAAACTGGTAACTACTCAAAGCCCAAGGGGGGAAACTATTTGATGTTGGAAATAACATGCAAACTATTAAACCAGTGAAATGATGATTCAATAGGTGGAAATTCTTGACTGTTCTTAAATCAAGGATAAGAGTAGTTTCTGATATTTAAGTGAAATATATGCTCTAATACAGTTATATTTGTCTATCTCACAACAGCATAATGAAGCTGAATCAATGTATTCTATATGCTCATAGATCATATCTTATAAGAATAACTATGACTTGAAAAACATTGTTCTTTCTAAGCCATAATCTAGCATTAGCCATAATGGTTCACAGATGACTGAACTTTAGAGCCAGTCAAAATAATGGAAAAGAAACTGTTTATACAGATATGAACTGAAATCTTATGGTTGCATAATCATGTTCCCTGTTGATAAATAACTCAAAAGTCATGAATTGTGTTGCTTGCTTACATTATGTGAAGGAAATCTGGGGTAATCAGGGAAATTGTTTCATCTTTTTTCTTTTTCAGGCTGCCCTGAAAATTGGCAATAAATATTTCAGTTTAACACAACAATGTCATATTTGTTGTGGTAGCCTAAAGATGAGGAACATGTAAATAAATATTTTTTCCCTACCCAAACTAGGTTTCAGACTGAGGATCAAAAAGCAAAAATAGCTATTTCTACCTTTAAATACTATACATTCAGTGTCTCCTTAACTCTGGATGAAAATCCGGTTATATAGGCTAAGAGACTGTAAAGATTCAACCCTTATCTATAAGCAAACAGAAACAACTCACATGTCTGCAGTTCAAAAAGGTTTAAAAGGTTGTGACTGATAGAACTGGAAGAGAACCATGTACATCCACTGAATAGATTATCAAATTAAAACTCTTTGAATAGGGAGAAGAGCTAGCGATGAGAGTGATGAATATTGTAAAATAAAATTTGAAAAGTTTACTGAAGCCAAACTGATGTCTTTTATCATAAGTAATTGTTATGATTTTTCTTTTCAGTGTGTATGTACAGAGAACCATCACTACATGAAATTGGAGAAAAACAAGGGCGTTCGAGGAAAAGTTCTGGAACACCAACCATGAATGGAGGAAAAGTCGTGAATCAAGATTCAACATAGCTGAGAACTCTTCCCTTCTTCCCTCTGTCATCCCTTCCCTTTCTCTTCCCTCCCCTTTACCCATTTCCTTCCAGTAAATCTACCCGAGGAGAGAAAATAAAATGGCAACGCAGGACCTAGTTGCTAAGATTCTGCTCTCAAAATCTTCCTTTGTGTAGGACAAGAAAATTGAACCAAAGCTTGCCTGTTGCAATGTGGTAGAAAATTCACATGCACAAAGATTAGCACACCTAAAAGCAAAGGAAACAATAAATGAGGACTCCACAAACATTAAATTAAACTATGTTGTTATTAATAGAGGGCTAATTGTCATGAATTTGTTAGTAAAGCTGAAATAAAGTTACTGCCTTGAAGGAAAGGGCTTTGGAAAATTGAACTCACAAATTGATGTTGTATCCTAAATAGCTTAAACTCTGGGTAATGTGACATGTGGTTTTGTTTGATTTTGTATTTTCTTTGGGCATCTGAAATTGATACATAATTGTATCCAATTTGCGGGATTTTTTTTTTTTTTTACCATGAAATGAACATGTATAAATTGTAGACTCTTCTAATGCCTATAAAGTATATGTCCAGGAATCATTTAACATCAAGAAAAGTTTAAAAATTATTTCTGAAACTGTTACTTAAGATTATTTTGTGCAGAAGGAAAGTTTTGGAATTCACGGATTTAATTCCTTCATAAAAAGTTTCAAATTCTCCTATGAGAATATCATAGTTTTATCAAAGGTATTATTCCAGAATTTCTTTTTTTTTTGTCATTTAGAAAAAGAAATATTATTCTAATGCTGAAGTGATCTTTGGGAATTCTTTGTCATTGTCATATCCAGGCAGTGAGATATAAGTTACTTGGTCTTACCGTTTGAACTGATTTTTTGCTTTGTGGACACCTTTGAGAGTATAGGTGCCTTCCCCCCCCCCCAAGTGCTGTACGATATCTTGCAACAGGTAAGAAGGAAGAGAGGTTTTACATAAGGAAATAAGTCCTAGGAAATTGGTAATAACAAATTGTATTTGCCTTTGTACCTTACCAGAGTTTTATGTATATAATGTTTTTTCCAATCTGCCAAGAAATTGGGAGGCATGGCTGTGAAATTCCTAACTTACTATCTTATGAAGACTGCGGCTTGTATGTTGCTATATATCCTCAGTTATAAGTCCAGTTGACAATAAGTCTGCTTCCTAGAACACAGAGGGGTACTTGTAATACAATAAATTTTACAGGGCATTAAGAAACAATATGGAATTAACAGCTATGGCTCCAACAGACAGGATTATGTGAGTGGCTTAAAGTAGTGGGGGAAAAAAACTGTAAGAGCGGGCAAATGCATAGTTAGAAATACCAAAGTATTAGAAAAAAAGCAGGGAAGAAATAAATGTTATACAATTGCATTGGAATAAATAGATCTACTTAGTCCTACAAATCAGGAATGGTGTAGAGACATCCAAATTAAAACAAAATAAAACAGAATGTTAAAAATTTATGCAGATTTATGGATATTATCAATGAGAAGACGTAGCATGTAACTTCTCCTATATCTCAACTCTCCAGCATGTATTGTTCCAAATATGACTCCCTAAAATATATACACTTTGCAGAAGCTCTAAGCCCTCCCTCAAACCTTGCCATTGATTGCTGTATTTCAAGGTCAGCATAGTTTCCCTCACTCTACACAATCATTATTCTTCAATAGTGGTTTGTGTCCTTCACCAAGTATCCTGTTTATGATATCAGGAGGTTAGAGAAAAATGAAATGAAGAATTTGCCTAAAGAGTTGGGAAGAGTCAATGTTACGCATCTGGGCAAAGATTCTGAACCACGCATTTGTGAGAGATATTTGTTTCATCAAAATATTTGGAAAGTGGCAAATAAAAACATGTAGATTTTTTTGAAAAAAGGAATGTTGCTCTTCTAGAAAAAGAACACCCTTGTAAAAAATTAGAAATCTGGCTGTATTTCTCCTTGTCACTCTTGATTCAACTTGGTTATAAATATACCTGTCACTTCCAGGACCAAACAAATCCCAAGCACAAAGCCTTATTTTCTTTGAAAAAATAAAAGTTAAACTTCAATACAATGGGTCACAGACTCTTTTAGCATGAAATGACATGAGGTTTTGTGGTAATTACACATGCACATATACTCATCAGTAACACAATTGAGGGTTTTATAAGTAATATAGTTGATGGAATTCACAATCATCAATTACAATGATGATTTCATTGCAAGCTATATATAGGTCAATTAACTATAAAAACATGACAAAACTATTAATTACCAACAAAATTTCTCTCATGATTTTCAGTGACTGTTCTGCGTTTATCATTCAGATTTACATTTTTCTCCTTCCTGATAGCAGTTAAGGAGAATTCTAACCACCCAATTTGTATATTGTTTTTCTTCATATCATGTTAAGTAAATGTTCACTGCAGTAAAATGTTTTGGAAATTAGCTTTGTCTTATTTCCCATTTGTTTCAGAGAATGAATTTTAAACCTCGTTTCTTTTACACATAAACTTGACAAAAATTATAGCTTAGAGCACAGGGTGAGTATTTGCTTAACTGCTGCTTACTTTTTAAGTACATAAAATCTTTAATAGAAAAAGTCAGTATTCACTGTCTAGGTTTTGAAAAATATTACCAAATATAAATATATAGTTATCCAATCTCTTCCAAAAATATGAGCCAGTTTAAATATTTTGTTTTTCAGATTTTTGCCAAGTATAATAATTCTTTACTTTGGTTTTCATTGTTCTAATTTCTGGGTCTTCAATTCTTCCATCACATATTCTCCTTTAAATCAAATGAAATGAGCTTTTTTTTTTTTTTAATGCATTGAGATTTTCCAAGGAAAAATATGGCTTTTAGTAAAACTTTGTAATTAACTATAAATTAAGTCTTGTTTATTCTAAGAGTTCTCATTGTAATAAGTTTCAAAGTGAATGAGCTTAAGAATGACAACAATCTCACAAAATTTCTTTCTGGTCAGTACACCTTACTTGATTTTTTTAAGTTAGAAGTTTGAAATATAGAGAAAAATGATGTAGAATTTACATTTGCCAATTCAGAAAATTTTGTTCTTCAAAAAAACCCCCCAAAACAAAAAAAAAAAAAACAGGAGGGCAGCAAACCATCCTGTTCTTGATAATCATGGGTTTTGGCTTTGAATTTTTACATATGAAATTCATAGTACATTTTTAGCCATTATGGGTTGGCATAATAAAGAGACACCTGTGTCATGTAATGTGATGTTTTATGAGCCTCATTTTAATTCAGAAAGCTTATTTGAAAGAATTCTTCTGTTTAAGAAAATAGCAACACCATAGATAGGTATTATATCGAGATATGTGGATTCTGTGGTGCGCCAGTAATGAGTGATGGAAGTGTTAAGACAACTAAAGAATGAAGAAAGACTTAATTTTTATATATTGAAAAAGCTGAAAGTTCTAATTTGAGACCACTGATTTCTTGGTGAAGAAGCATGACTACATCAACCACTTAAAAGAAAAAATTAAACATAGACCCAGAAATAGCTACTATTTCACCTTCGTGACTTAGTTTACAAGACCTTGCTCTTGAGAAGGTTTTCCATGATGTTGCTTAATTTCATCTGCACAGGGTGAGACACAATCAAGCATAACAATTTCCTGCTCATTTTAATATCATGAAAGGCTGAGGTTATTTCTCTGTCATAAAATTGTAAATAACATTTTTTAAGTCAGAATTACATTTAAAAGTGGATTGTTCTATGAATATATATGTGTATATATACATATGCTTCTGAAATAAGGATATATTATATAGAGTTTTTATTTAATTTGTGGTCTTTAGTCATAGGTAAGCAAAAATAAAGAGCTTTGAATGCAAATCTTTATATATAAATGTATATTTCTAATGATGGTACCAATTGCCACTTTATAATAAAAAGAAGAAACAACTGGGAAAAATAATCAAAGCACATTCTCCCTCAGAACTTCGATGATTTTTAATTCCCTGTTGGATGCACAGGAAATTATTTTTTATTTCTAAAACGTTATTTTAAAAATCTATACTTGCCAACACAGATGTCATGATAAGTCATATCAGATTGGGAATGTATGGTTGAGGGATAGGAAAAGGATGCCATATGCTCACCTTTATTTTTCAGGATTTTTCATGGATCCCAAATTAAAAATTCAATATTTAAATCTAAATTAACTGAAAATTACTAATGTTCAGTGATGATATATTGAGCTTTAGTAGCAAGCAGAAGCAAAAATATCTAACATTATGACAATAGCACTAAGATAATGTAATAAAAATTGCATCACTAAATATTTAATTCATTGGAAAAATGAGCTGATGTTTGTCTTTGCTCCAACTCAATTTAAAGACAGCAACATTCATTTTACTCAAAGTTGTTCAAAAAGTCCAAAATATACTCCCATGAATAGAACTGGTGTTAGCTCCATTACAAGGTTCAATGTTACAATTTTAAAAAGTATTGACACCGAAATGTTTAATAAGCATATTGTATGAGAAATTAAATAAATCAATGTTTCATTTTTGCATTAAAGCACAGATTATCCAAATCATTGTTTTTTGAGATCAGATTTGTAAAATGTTTATACATCATAACCTTCCTGAAGTAAAAAAGCCATTATAATCTTGAGATGCTCATGCATGTAGACAAAATACTGGCACTTTTAAAAAAAATTAAACTTCTTTGAGAAGTCTACCACTTTTTTTCTTAGTGTGTTTATACTATAATGTGTTGCTGGAAAAGTGCTGTGTCTTATAAAAGAAAAAATATATATCATAAGTGGATTTATTGAGGGAAAATAAGTTAAATTTTATCAGTTGAAAGTAAATGCTACTTTCTAATTATGAAGCAATTTGTGATAATCTGACATCTCACTTCTCAAGGATTAAGAACTAAAGTTCATTCATTTATTCTTTTATTCATAATTTGCTAACTAGAGACTCAGTTGAATTTAGGGATTATAAAGTAAATTATAGTCTCAAGAAAACCCCAAGAAAAGCAGATACATAAATAAATAATATACTAACCAAAAGTATGTGCTATGATAGATGCAACACTAAGTTTTTGTATACCATTGATGATGCAACAATGAAGCCTAGAGGCAACACAGGAATTGAAAAAAAGAAGAGAGATTTGTCGAGTAATAAAGGAAAGATGACAAAGGACCCTTCAAGTTGAGGAAATTGTTTGAATACAAAATGAATACTTGCTGAACACAACTTACTTGGGAAATGGCTCTGAATGAAACAAGAAAAGAATATTTAGGAGAAGAGGTGGGGAAAAAAACTGAGTCGAGATTAATAAAAAAGTTATTCAGTTTTTTCAATGCACCCTTTGGATTTGTTTGAGCCTCTGTATCTCTTAGGATGTTTCTGGTTACTCACATAGCATCAAACCAAATTGGCACTTTATCTAGAATATATAGGTTCACAGCATCACCATGGAGGCTTAATTTGTCTAGTTCTCAGCTCTGCCCACCTCCATGTACTATACCTTCCTTTTTGGAGTTAGGAATTTCTTTAGAAGTTGCAGAACCTGCATATTTACATAATCTATTCTCCTTTATAATCCTCTAGAAAATATCTTCTCAAATTTCCTTGGCCTGATTTGGATCATAAATCTGCACTATAGTGAATCACTGTGGCCAGAAATTTGAGATGTGTTGACTCAATTAATTGAACCAGGGCTTTTTTTAAAGACCTGGAGGTTGAATGTACTTCCCCCAAAGATACAGGTATGCATAAATGTGGGGTGAATATTTCAATGAGACCTTTTATCAAGAGGAAATGAAATGAATACCAAAAAGTAGTAACCCTCCATTACCTGTTAATAAATGTTTTTTTATCACAGCTCATTGGATATTCTAAAAGCCGGCAGAGAATGCAAAAAGTGATGAATTAAAGCTACTGCCATAATAGGGGACAAACAACAGCATTGAAAATTCAATTCTCCAAATATAGTTTTTAATTCATATAAATTTAAGGGGTTCAAGTACAGTTTTATTACATGGATATATTGCCTAGTGGTGACTTCTGAGCTTCCAGTATAACCACCAAATAATGTACATGGTATCCATTAAGTAATTCATCTGCCCTCAGTTCCTCCCACCCTCCAACTCTTACAAGTCTTTAATGTTTATTATTCTCCCAAAGCATTAAGTGCCACCCTCCAACTCTTACAAGTCTTTAATGTTTATTACTCTCCCAAAGCATTAAGTGCCTGCTATGCAGAAGACACTGTGCAAGTCCCCGAGGAAGAGAGAAACACTGCAATTTTTTAAAAGTTATGAATTTGACAACAGTGCAATATATTTGGTACGTCTAATGCTTTTAGATGACTGTCACAGAAAGGGTTAAAAAAACACACAGCTTATAAATCAGAGGTCCATATCATATCTACTTTTTCATACCAATAAAAGCACTGCTAGGATCAGGTCAGTAAAAATTGCTTCTCAAAATGTCACTCCAAGCAGTCATTCCACATCCTAAACTCAGGGCTGTTTGGGACTTCAAAATCACCTGCAACAGCCGTGCATGCATTTCTTTAGTCTCCTTTACAGATTATAGCATATGTTTTGAACACGTTAGATGATAATAAATGTATTCAGCCTATTCCATATTGGTTTTCTATTTACATTGGCATCAAATCCTTGTGTTACCTTCTTCCAAAAATTTCTCTTGATTTTCCACTGATTTCAGCTTTGTTTTTGCAAAAGAGCTAACATACTTATTTGAAAATAATAATCAGCTCCTGATCACAAACATTCACAATTACTTAAATTATTTCAAGAGTTTAAAAAAATTATCAGTACTGTCATATTGTTTTTCTAACACTTTTTGACAAGCGCACCTAAAAGAAAATGTATCTTAATTACTGTGCTATATCTCTTACACATATTCATCTATTAGCCTACCTACCCATTGCAATTTGCTGTTTTTAATTATATGTCCCTGGGCAACTCCTTCAGGTCCCCTCCCACTGTGGGAGCTTTTCTGTCCTCTTAATAAATCCTGCTTTAAAAAAATAAGTAATATGTCCCTGACCCAGAGAGGCACACGGAGACATACAGAAGGAGACCATAGCAAAAGGTCTTTAACACATGAATTGTATGTTAGTCATGCTATGACTTATCTCTGCCAAGACTGTTTCTATTGCTTCATCTTTTTGCTCCTATGCATTTTAAGATTGTCCCAGTGCTTGGTTAACTGACTTAGCACTGAACTTGTTCATATTTTTCCATAATTTTCTGATTATTTTCCTTGCTAGTAGCTTCACCTCAGAAATATACTCCCATAATAAATATGCGTGTCACATCATCTTTAACAACTATGAGAATAGTGGTTTAAATAAAGAGGTTTGGAGGTCGGGTTCAGTGGCTCAGCCTGCAATCCCAGCACGTTGGGAGGCCGAGGCGAGTGAGCCTGCTGATTCGAGACCAGCCCGGGCAACTTGGTAAGATCTCGTCTATACAATAAATAAAAAAATTAGCCGGGCATGGAAGCGCGTGCCCGTACTTTGGCGACTCGGAAGGCTGAGGCAGAAGGATTGCTGGAGCCCGGCAGGTCGACACTGGGGTGGCCGTGAGTGTGCCACTGCACTCCCGCCTGAGAGACGGAGTGAGACTCTGACTCAAAAATAAATGCATAAATAAATGCATAAATAAATAAGTTTGAGGTTTGTTTGTTTTTATATCAATTACAAGCCTGAATATAGATATTGCAAATGTTATTTGGATTGTTCAAAGACATCAGTACCAAAGTCTCTGCAGTTTGAAGTACTTGTCCTTCAAAGTAGCTTTTATTCACAGTTCCAAAATGGCAGCTCCAGCTCTAGGCCTAATCTCCTAGAACTGATATAAATGCCCTATTTAAAGATTTCTTGATAATGACCTTGACCTTATATATTAAGCTATTGTGAGAGTATTCAGAGTTGATTCATAGACAATTTCTTCTGTCAGAGTCTAGAGAGATATTTGCTTAAGCAGCCCCGTTATGTGAGTGCTTATGTTATGCACCGGATCTTTGGATCTGGATTATGTTAGTAAGTGTGGCTATTGCCTTGAAATAGTAGTCTCCAAACTTATTAAGAGCATTCATGAAGAATCTGGAACTTTATATACGTATATATATAGCTTTATATATATATATAGCTTTATTTCTTGCTTCTGTCATCATGGTTCACGATGCTAAGACACTTATCTGTTACTTGAAAAGGAATTCACTTGCCTGCCCCTGAGAGTGCAGTTCTGGCTATAAGATGTCTCTTAGGCCATGTGTGGTCTGATTTATTCTCCTACATCAGAACACCCATTCTCAGGGAAAATTAGCTTTCTCCAGACCTTTACTCAGAGCACACTGTCCCCTGTAACCAAAATTGTTATACCTGGTGGTATTTTTTTGCCCTGCCCAACACTGTACTCTACAAACCAAAAGGCAACATAGGACTCTTCCTCTGTCTCATGTACATTGACTGACTCTATCACAAGCAAGAAAATAAAAATCTGTGCCTGTTGCAGAAGGCCAAATAATTCAATAGTGCTTGTTTCTGTATTTTACCATTTAATCCCATCTAACCCTACATTTCTCCAGTTCTTGCCCATATTTTTTTCTAACAGAAACATAGTTTGTCTCAAGATCCCTTAACCTGCTCCAACAACCAGGGAGAGCAAGTTAGAAATTCAATGCAGTTTGTCCTGAGTTTCAGTGCTTAGAACCTGCTGAATGCAAGGGGTGTATATCAAAAGGTATACCTGGGTACCAGTTCACTCTCTCTGTCTTTGTCAGGATGCAAGCAACTCTTCTCAAGAAAGCCTGGAGAAACTAATCCACTTGCCCCCACAACATGATTTTTTTTTTTCTCAAAGAAGTCAGTTAAAAATTGTGTCAGACTTAGTGTTGCAATCATTTTTATGTGTCAACTTGACTGCACCACAGGGTACCCAAATTAAACATTATATCTGTGTGTGTCTGTGAGGATGTTTCCAGATCAGATTAACATTTGAATCAGTGGACTCAGTAAAGTAGATCACACTCCCCAGTGCAGATGGCCACCATCCAATTTATTGAGGTCCTGAATAGAACAAAAAGGTGAAGGAAAGGCAAATTTGTCCCCTCCTCCTCCTTTTGCCTTATGCCTGCCTTCTTGAGTTGAGATGTTGATTTTCTCTTCCCCTAACTGATATTTACACTATCGGCTCTCCTGGTTCACAGGCTTTAGGACTTGAATTGGAATTACATCACCAGTTTTCCTGGGTCTCCATATTGTAGATGGCAGATCATAGGACTTCTCAGTAACCTCCACAATTGTGAGAGTCAATTCCTCATAATAAATCTATTTCTCCATTTCTCTCTCTCTCTCTCTCTTTCTCTCTCTCTCTCTCTCTCTGTCTCCCTGTGTGTGTGCACGCATTTGTGCACATGTGCTGGGGGTGTGTGTATGTATATATCCTATTGGTTCTATTTCTCTGAAGAACCCTGACTAATATACCTAATAGGACACTACAGGGTTTGATGCCACTTTAACCATCATTGACTACCTCTGGATTTTCTAGTGATATACTCCCCTGGCACAGGCTCAGGACTCTCATGTCACTGAACTCTGAATTCAGTCCTAATAGGATGCAGTCCAGTTGTTCTCACTCTTTTGTTTTTTATTTCAATAATTCCCTAGAGGACTGGAGCAGAGCATTTGATAAA